TCTACTTTTCTAAAAACAGAAACTTTGGTATTGATTCATGAAATCTAAATACGATGAGATAAAATAACAGTATATGTTGGTAATAAATTTTTTTCCTAAGTTTTGGCATCGATCACTTACGCGTATGAAACTGGCCTTGTGAGGTGATTTTAGGGTTTCTTCTCTATTCATTAAGACAATCAGACGGCTGGGATGACAGGTCCAAAACAAAGCATTGAGAAAAGATGAGTAATTCGAGGCAACTGGAATGCACTCAATAACCAACATTGTTACGTTTGTTGGATGATACACAACTGGATGTTCTTTCAGCTCTCCAGAGTCAGCAGATTCTGTCCATTCAAAATTGTTTGAAAAAGTCAATATATATATTCCAGGAAAAAAATAAACTGAAGTTCATCACACCGAAGAAGTTCATTGAGCTATAGAATTTTCCTAAGTACACAAACAGAACTCGGTATACAGGAATTGTTAGTCTTCTGGGTAGAGAAAGCAAATCGTATAACACTTTTGGGAGTCGGACTTGCAAAGAAAAGTACCCTCCCTTTCTATAATTTGAATTATTTTTGGTATTCTCATAAAAAATGATATGTTTTGCAGGCGAAAAGATGGATTATGTTCGGCTATATATGTGTCAGAGAGAGGATATTCTTCGGACATAACCCACAATTAATAATAATATTGTTCTCTTTTTGAAGGTGCAAAAAGTTTTGGGATTCATAATATTTTAACCTTTTCTTCAACCAATGCCTCCACATAAATGATCAAATTAAAGCACTTAAGTATCTCGTAGAACAATCTATATAATGTTCGACGGGGCATTTTAGTACATAGTGTATGCTACTACGTACCGTAGATTTCATGCATCATCACATCATCTGAGACTGCCAACTTCCATCAATACTCTATTTAAAGAGGAATTACAATTTTCTTCTTTAAAGATAAATTATCATAGGGGTTCTCGGAGATTCTCCTAATTCAACTACCTTAGTTCTATCAAATTTAAGAGCAGAAACGTAATGATTGATCAATTAATAATATTGATCATCATATCATATGTAACAACAAAGATTGCAAATTATTAATTAATTGGCAATAACAACAATGACTATATACATCACAGCAGGCTTAGAAAATAAGATCATTCAACATGTACACCTCTAGGATATATACAAAGAAAATTTGTTAATGCCTCTTAAAAATAAATTGCAACAATAATTAATTACCCAAAACCAAAAATAATTCACATACCTCAATAAAAATCTTATGCAAGTGTATTTGTAGCAGTGGGTGGATCACGTTTTGTGAAAACTTTCCAAGCCTGTAAAGTTGAGAGCTATCAATGCCACCAGAAGAATGACCAAAATGATGAAGCTCAACTCTGGGACTCCGTCTCAACATTGTAATCTCAGAAAAGAAAACCCAGTGAAATAGATTTTGCTTAGTCTCGGAGCATCAACCTCAACTTCTATAGGCTCCTCAAATCTCTGACCTTCACACAAAAAAAACTCTTAAGAGAATCACTTCGAATCTGAATCTTCTCATTACGAACCATAAACATTTGGATCGTCTCCAGAAGTGGGAGTATGGATATAAATGCTTTGATCCATTGGTAGGCCCTTGTGTGCCATGTTAAGCATCTCAGTGTCTTTATGTTCCATACATCAGAAGCATATAATCTATGAAGCCCATATAGAACCATCGTATCCAGATTCATAGCCTGAGCTACACGCAATGTTTTAACATTCACTTCAAAAAACTAAGCTTTAAGAAGAATTCGAGACTCAGAAGTTCCATTGCAGGAGACGTTTTAATGGTCAGCTTCTCAAGAAAGTTCTTAGAATGATTCACAAGTTCCTTGATTTGATCATCACGAGCAACAACATCCTCAAGAATTATCTCTTTAAGACAGAGAAATTCATGACGACGCCTCCTGGATTTCTTTCGATCACCACCACCATCAGAGAATAAAATGTCAGCCGGAAATTTGCAACCTATCAGCTGAAGTTTGACTAAAGATTTCGAAGTGAAAACTGATTGGGGTATAGTGTAGAAAATGTCGTTCGGAGATTCAGAAACCCTAAGTTCTATCTCCTTGACATAGTTTTTCATAATTAAAGTAAGCCAGTCATGGAGGTGAGATTCCAAGTCCGAACCCTCTTTTTCCTGCGGATCAATCGTCAAAAAGAAGCTCTCAATTTTTGCTTTGCGAGATCTTAGGATTGACAAGGAGTCTTCGACTGAAGAGACGAAGCTCTCGAAAGTGACATATTCGTTGTGATCTAATCTTAGGTTGAGGATTGGAAGTGAAGTCCAGACATTTCGCCAAGTCTTGGAAGCAGCTGATAGTGATACTGCGTCTTCTACGGGTAAGAAGAAGAAGATTTTCTGCAGAATCGCCTCCGGAAATTGGAAAATCCCATCGGAGCCACCGAGCTTGTGAGCTTTTTTGCGCGGCTTGCTTCTGGGAGCCATGGTCAGGTCAGTCTAAGCTTGTTGTTAGTACTACTGTAAGAGCTAGCTGCTGATTAGAGTGAAGACCTAGACTTTGAATTTGGTAAAGCCCTAGACAAGAGGACACTAAACCTAAGAAAATGAACGGACTAATATTTTAGGATTTGTAGAAATTTTTTATTATATAGACTTATTAGCAAACACGTGAGAGACACAATGTCCATTCAAAATATCTGGGCTGTGTCTGATTTTTTTCTCTTTTTGGGATAATGTCATCAGCTGATATCTTTTCTGCTTTTGGCAACGTATGTTCATCATATTAAATACTATTTACGACACAGCCTACGATATTCAATGTTTTTCGGCTCATTTAATTCACCAATTAATTGGTGGGATGAATATGCTAAAAACTTCTGAAAAATAGTATATATTTAGTTGTGGGCTATGTATATTTTTTAATTAAGGTTAAAATCGTTAATTAAAAAAATAAAGATATCATATCTTGAATGGTACAAAATTCTTAAAATGTAACATATTAAATTTAATTTTCAAAACAACATTGTCACAAAAAATTATCATTTGAGACTAATAATTTTAAATTAAAAAAATTAAATATATTTTTTAAAGTTAAGGGATCAAATTAAAATTGTGTAAAATTAAAGAACTAAGTATATATGTTCGATTTTAGTTGTTCTAAAAAAATAATGTTATCATCATATTTATAATGTAGAGAAAGAATTTTTATTTTAATCTTATTTATAAGTTATATAGTTAAATTTTTAATATGAATATGCAAATTTATATTTTATTTATTATTGTGTAAACCTTATACTATTGGAATATAGTGAATATTAAATGAGAGTAAAGTTGAAAAATTATTATATTTTACAATAAGGTTAATGATAATGAGATTTAAAGTTTTTCTTAATTTTAGTGAATGATAGATAACCAAGAGGAGTATATTTAGTTTATTTTCCCATTAATCTTACTTCTTCAAAACTTATATATGAGACGGAAATGATAACAATAGGGTAATCAGAAAAAATTGTTAAAATCGATCAAAAAGCAGTCGACATATAAAAATGTATTTTATTTTCTCAAAAACTATCATTTATGAATCCGAACTTTTACCTTGTTTTGATAAAAAGTCTCAATCTTTTTTTTTTTGGGTAATATCTCAATGCCTTTGAATTAGCACTGCCATCTTCTTTCAGTACTTGTTGCATTTGCTTGTCTTAATCTAATGTGAGATGACAGTCCAGATTGATCTAGAGCTTCTTGCTGATGCCGAGGATTCATGTTGGAGGAGAATCTCTTTCCATCTCTTCATAGATATTATTGCTCAAACTCGGCTCTTCCACGTCTCCTTTTTCTCATTCTTCGGCGACGAAGAAGAAGAAAAGAGAGAACGGGAAAGAAACCCGATAATTACGCAGCCGAGTTATATACATATATGTGTATGTATGTGTGTATAGATATTGCTTTAGTTCTAATTATAAAATCTCATTTATAAACTATAAACAAGATCTTATAATTAAAACAGAACGTAGTATATATGTCTTCTCACCATGGAAAGAAACCCTAAAGGGAGAACCTAGAGCGAAGTACTCCTACCTTAAATATAAGATTTAGGCTAAAATATACTTTTACTTTTCTAATTTTATATAAGGTTTTATTTTGATCCCTTAACTTTAAAAAGTAAATTTTTAGTCTTCTAACACTAGAACCGTTAGCAAAAAATGATAGTCCTCTAATCCTTAATATAAGACCTCATTTTTAAGTTAATTGGGTCATAAACTAATACTTATTTTTCATATTTATCATTTTTTCCAAATTATCCCTATGGATACTCCCTCAACCATAATCAAGTAAGTGAGGGAGATAGGATATTAAGAAAGATGATTATGGTGTTTTAGAAAAAACATGTCATATTTCTTATAATTAATTAATTTACATAACTTCCTTCATCTAATCAAATTAGTTAAATAGGTCTGGAGGAATAATATTGAGCTTTTGAATGCTATAAAACCTTACTAAATGCTAACATATTAAGTTTAATTTTTAAAATGCGATCGGCCAGAATAGAACTCTGACAAAGATTGATTCAAAGCTTGACCTGCTAACTCTTAGAACTGATACTCTGACGAGCAGACTTGACCAGGTCTCTGATCAAGTCAAGCAGCTTTATATGACTCTGACTTCTCAGGCTTACCAACTGGATGCAGATTTAAAGCAATTTATCGAGAAGGGATATATTGGACCAGAATTTACCAGAAAAGAGCAAGAACTGTCACAAATCCGAAAGGATTTGCAAAGAATCGAGTCAGACATCGCAAAGGATCATTCACAAACCATCTATGACCCTTATCCATCTTATCCGTCTGGTTTCCAACTTCCTACATACCCAACATCATCTCTTTCTTATCCCAGAGAATCTGATTATAGCAAGGTTTTCAAAATGTCTTATCCTATTTTAAGACAGTTGAGAAAATCACGACAACCCACTCTTTCACCTGTCCAGCCAAACCCTCCTCCCAGACCCCCAGTAAGACCACCTCACTTCCCTTCATCTGAAAGACTTTTCTACCCATCATCCTCATATACTAAACCTATTGAACCAACACCGTCCTCTCAAGGAGTTGTAATAAGAACTCCACCATCATCTCCACCAAAACAAACTCCTCCTCCAGACAGAGAAAAAAAAAGAAGTTGCAGATCCAAACAAAACCATAGCCACTTTCCAAACTGTGGATAAAGATCAGTCATCAACAGATGGAACCTCTGAACCTGAGTCTGATTCCTCTATTGAATACAGTTCTAACTCTGATCCGGAGATATATCATGCTGATATCTCTAAAGTAGCAATGGTCCAGCCAGATCCTACAGTTGAAGATCCTATTGATGAAGACCCATTTGTTCCTCAAACACCTGAGCCAAGAAGAACAGACTATAAACCCACTACAGGTCCATGGTTTTAGAACATGCCATACTCGCTTTCGAGATAGATCCAACTCAGCCGAGAATTTTTTTTTGGTTTTTATTCACCTTTTTTAACTGGGCCATCAGCAAGTTTTCCCTGAATCATTAAAACAAGGCCTACATTACTGAGGCCAATAAATAAATGATGAATCACATTTTTTACAATTAATTGATGAATAACCCAGCATGTTAAAGCTTACTGTATACTCTAATGGCAAAAGGAAAAAAGTCTATATACTCAATATAAATCATATGTGCATGGTTACTTTTTAAAAATATTTTCTCACTTTTCTATTAATATAATGAAGATGCTAAACTATATATACTCTCCTTTTCTTTATTGCCGAACTGTATATGACACTTATTTTCTCGTTAAATCTACATATTCAAAACAACATTTTGATCAATTCCAGTAAACAATAGTCACCTTTTAAATTTACGAGTAATTTTACATTGAAACTTGAATTCGCAATTAACATATTTAGAAATCAATAAATAAGATCAATCGGACATAAATTAATGACTAAAAGTTGAGCTGCACTGTAATTAATTTGTAGGTGAAATGCTGAACCACGCAACCAAAAATATTGAACATGAATACTAAAAAAAATCGAAAAAAATAGAGCATCGTAGCGTAAATATAAAATAAGAGTGCTGAAAAAAATTAATTGAGGAAAATTTTGATAGCTAGGTGATAGTTGTCGCTGATATGATAAATAGTGGATAGTAAGTGAGAAGAGAAAAAATTCTTCAGAATTTTCAAAACGAAAGATCAAAACAAGAAAACAAAAAAAAAACATGTAAAAGTTGTTTTGGTTTTTAAAACTATATTACTGTTTTTTGTTTTTTAAAACAATCAACTAAAAACAAATTACCAAACAAATTTTTTTTTCTGTTTTTAAAAACAAAAAATTATTTTCAAAATAAGAAACCAAACAAGCCTATAGTCTCCTTTTAGTTAGTACTCTTTCAAAATTTCAAGATTCTTTCACGGCAAAAAAAAAAAAAAATCAAGATTCTTAGCTGTTATTAATGCTTCTAGAGGGTCTTGAAATGTCGTTTTCCCCTCAGTAAGATGGAAACTAAACCTTGTCTTTTTATATCAAGCATTAAATATGTTTGTAGTATAATAAAATTTTAGTAGTGTAGAGTTGTTGAAATGGGGTTGAAAAAGTCGAGGAAATTAAAAATTACAGGTGGAATATAGGCCAATTAAAAAATTTTCGTCAAAGTCGAATAGGTTAATGAAAGGGGTCAAATTATTATGAAAAATATTGATTCATTAAAAATATATTATTTTCGCAGATTGATCAGCCAATCACCAAACTGCTTTGTGGCAAAATGATATTTTATGTATTGCAATGTCTCATATATATGCCAAGCAAACGAGGCTTGAAAGTTTATCATATAAACTAAGTTTTCAATAACTTGATAGATTGGTACTCCTTTACTACTATTTATATGATAGAAAGAGAAGAGAGTTTTTAGTCCTATTTATAACGTAGATATAGAAATTTTTTTATATAAGTATATGATTTTATCTTTTCATTTATTATTGTACTGACTTTATTTTCATAGAGTATAATATACACTAAATAGGATAAAATTGAAAAGTTATTAAATTTTAAATAAAAGTTAACGAAATTTAAGATTTTTCTTGGTCTATATAAAATATATTAGAAGTGACTTATAAATAGGTTCAAATAGGTTCAGATGAGTATGCTTTATGCTTATTAGTTTTTTAGCTGAAGATATGCTCTTCTTAATTAATATTGTGTAGCAATTCATTTTATATAAAATTTATAATAATTCATAAATCTAACTGTCCTAGTACATTAATTATATTATTTTCTTACAACTACAAAAAATAACATGCACGCGGCGTAGGTCAAAATTAATCTAGATTTAAAACAAGACAAAACGCTACTACAAATAGTTTAATTAAATGACGATGATGAGAAGTTGATTGATGCATTTTAATATAAAGTCCACTTCAAAAATTGTCATCGCCTATCACTATCCAATCCTACATTTGACAAATT